TGGATCATATGGTAACTCTGTCTCTTAGTTTTTGAAGGCCTGCCACACTGTTTCCATAGCAGCTGCACTCTGTGACATCGCCACCAGCGGGGTCCAAGGGCTCCAATTTTGCCGCATCAGTCACCAATAGTTGTCATTTTCTGGGTTTGTTTTGTTATTGTTTATAATTGCCATTCTAATGGGTGTAAAGTGGGCGTGGTTTTGATTTGCATTTCTTTTTTTCTCTCTTGATGGTAATGTCTACAGCACAAAGCAGTTTTAATTTTGATGAAGTTCAATCTGTCTATCCATTGTTGCTTGTTCTTTTAGTATCACATCCAGGAAACTGTCGCCTAATCGGACACTTTGTTTTAACTAGCACGCTTAGGTCTTTGATCCATTTTGAGTCGTTTTTGTTTATGGTATAAGGAAGAGCTCCAATCTGAGTCTTTGAATTCGGATGGCGGTTGTTCAGCACTGCCTCCTGAAGAGACTGTCCCCCCTTGAGCAGTCCTGGCACCCTTGTCACAGTTAATGGCCCCTGTCCTCCCGGGTGGGTTGTGTTGGGCTCTCCTGCAGGACCAGCCTCCTTGGCTGTGTCCCTTTGGAGCAAGCTTAGCATGGGGGGGGGGGGGGGCAGGGCTGGGCTCCAGCTCCCTGGTGGAGCACTGGATGGTGGCTAGGGAGGCTGGAGACTGATTCTCCACACTGCGAAGACAGACAAACAATAAAATCAGGGAGATTAAATCCTTTGGCTTTGTTCTTTCCTTTTCCTTGTTTATTATTTGTTTATTTATGTTCAGTTCCAGGAGTTGAGCTCAGAACCTTGTTCATACTTGGAAACCACTCTCCCTCCCTCCCTAAACTACCTTCCCTGCCTCCTTTCCTCCCTCCCTCTCTCTCTCACACACACACACACACACACACACACACACACACACACACACACACACACACATGCGTATGAACAGTTTGCTTGCATGCATGCCTGTGTATGTGCCACATGCATACCTGGTGCCCTCTGAGATTAGAAGAGGGCTTTGGATCCCCTGGAACTAGAGTTACCCATGGCTGAGAGCTACCGTGTAAGTGCTGGGAACCAAACCCTGGTCCTCCAAGAGCAACAAGTGCTCACCCTGCTGAGTCATCATCTCCAGCACCCCAGTGCTCACCCTGCTGAGTCATCATCTCTAGCACCCCAGTGCTCACCCTGCTGAGTCA